GCATCTCCGGTGGTAATCATCATCAAGAAGAACGGGGTGGATATACGTCTGTGCATTGATTACCGGCTAGTTAACGGCCTGACTCGATTGATGGTGTATCCGATGCCTCTAATCAATGAGCTGTTGGAAGATTTGGATAAAGTACTCTGGTACTGTTCTCTTGACATGGCCAGTGGTTTCTGGGTGGTTACTATGACGGATCGAGCTCGCTCGATATCCGCGTTCATCACACCGTTTGGACTGCTCGAGTGAAACCGGATGCCGTTTGGATTGAAGAACGCACCCCAGATCTACCAACGTCTGATCGATAACGCCCTCTATGGATTCACCCGAATACCGGAACCCGAAAGGGGTGAATCCGGAGAGGATCACACGGAAGTAGATCCATTCGAAGAAGGAGAGCCGGGGGATCCTGGGACCCCGTCTGTGTTAGGACGCAGATCTTATATCGACGACATTCTAATCCCGGCGGAATCGTGGGATCAGTTGTGCGAAAGAGTAACATCCCTACTGGAGGCGTGTACTAAGTGAAACCTCTCTATCAGTGTGATGAAGAGCTATTGGGGGATGCGCAAGGTGGATTACTTAGGCCATCGAGTCTCCAAGGAGGGATTGGAGGGCGAATCCTAAGGACCTGTCTTCGCTAGCCGACTTGTCCTTCCCACAGTCGTTACGGGCGATGCAATCCTTCCTGGGCAGTTTGAATTACTACAGTCGATTCATCGAGGATTACGCACTGTTTGCCGCGGTATTGTATGAATTGAGAGAGGTAGATTTTGCTGCGATGACCACTCCAGCTGTCCGGATAAAAATCCAACAAGCTCTGGCCCGGGAGATGTCGGATCCACGAAGGGATCCAAGTGGTACGACGTCAGAAGAGGACCTAAAACAGGAGCTGGATCCACCCCGAGGCCAAAGGAAAGAGGATCCAATCAGGATAGAGACGACGGGTCAGAGCTCGGAAAAGGCGAAACCTCGGTGGATCCGAGCTCAACACGCATTCGTGGAGCTGAGGAACAGGATCGCGACCACACCTATCCTCCGTCATTTCGATCCGGAACGTCAATCTACGGTGATAGTTTATGCCAGGGACTGGGCAGTCTCAGCAGCTGTGGTACAACAACATGAAGGGATCTGTCATCCAGTCACCTTCGTCAGCCGGACACTGAAGCCGAATGAACTGAACTACGGAGCGGTGGAGAAAGAGATACTCGCGCTCCTGCGCGTGTTGGATCTCAATTACAACCTGCTGGTGGGAAGATCCATCCCGATCCTGACTCGACACTCTACGTTAGCTTGGCTGTTCAAGTCGGCCGATTTACACGGACAGATTGAGATAGTGGGCAGCCTTACTCTCGCCTTGGACACTGGAAATCGTGAAATGTTCGAAAGGGGAAGACGAGATCCTGGGAGTCTTGTAAATTTGTTGAAGTAATTTCTACGTAGGTTCGAATCCTACTTTCTCCAAAAATATATTTTTATATTTATACGTAATTTTATAAATACAGGTAACTGTGATTTTTTTATAATTAAAATAACTATTTATTATTTATATTTTTCACAAGAAAATAATAAAAATATATTTAAGTACATTAAGGGTACAGCTTTTTGCTCTATTTTTAATTCAAATATTGCTGAATGTTCCTGTAGGGAATCATGTGATAGTAACTTTTATATGAAAGAGAAGGAGTTGCACCTTTTAGATAGAAAAAAAGCACCATTATTTCAGACTATTCTAAATAATTTAAAAGATAGTAATAGGGAAATATACCCTTTCGCCTTGTAGTAGTTTTAATTCTTTAGCCTATTATTCAAATAATGTGGAATATGACATAACTGGCAGATATTTTAATAGATGTAAAATAGGCAATAGATTATTATATATATCGATGACTACTAAAAAGACTATAAATTTATGTTTAAAATTATCTAATAATGAATTTGCAATTCAAAGAATGATGCTTTATTTAATTTACATGAAACCTATCCAGAGGGAACATCTAGTATTTTGTTAAGAGGAGTCTGCTATTATTTTAACCAGTACACCCTTTTTTAAGAGATATTGATGAAAATAAAAATTAAAAAAAACATTTATAATAAATAAATGTTTTTTAAATATAATTTAAATAAAAATAATAGAAATTTTTTATCCTTTAAGACAATATAAAATGAGAATTAATATAAGAATGTTATATTATTAAAATTTAAATCTTTGTTATTTTAAAAATATATATTAAATCATTAATATAAAAATTAAATAGAGTTTGATCCTGGCTCAGAATAAATGCTATCGGTATGCTTAACACATGCAAGTTGAATGTTTTTAAAACATAGCGAACGGGTGAGTAACACGTGAATTATCTACCTTTTAATTCGGAATAATTAGTTTTCTAAAAATTCGGAATAAATAAATTAAAGTTTTTTAACGTTAAAAGATGAGTTTGCGCAAGATTATGGTAGTTGGTAGTTTAAAAGACTACAAAGCCTATTATCTTTAGCTGGTTTGAAAGAATGATCAGCCACATTGGGACTGAGACACGGCCCAAACTTTTTTAAAGGCAGCAGT